ATAAAAGAAAGCTCAAAGCTCACAATAAAGTCAGGGAAGAAAATCCAGAAATAGGCAGTAAGTCCCTCAGAAAAGTTCACTGACACAACAGCACCATCTGCTGCTAAATGACTGCCTGGGAAAACCGGTGGCAAGAGTCCCTTCCCACTGCGGGTGTTACACGACTTCTGCTGGGCATTTGGACATTCCTGTGATCTTCTAGAGTTGGTGTAAATGAAAAGTGACATCCATAATGGTAACTCTTGAGAGAGGTCTGTGTGCCTGGGGACTGGATTTACTTTCACTAGTAGACTGAAAGACTTGAAAGACTGAATGTAAGTCGCCCCTTCGGCTGCTGCCTGGCCCTTACCCTGAGCCGTAGTGTAAGGAGCCGCAGGGAGTGACCCAGCGTTACCAACAAGAAGCAGCTGTTCCTTGATCAGAGGGACCAGCTCGTTATGCGAGTAGGACACACCAAATCCTGTAATCAACAACAGGTGGTGCATTTAATGTTGTGGTTTTGATTTCCCAACCTTGTGAGTAACAATGCAGGAGTCTCCAGGGTGTGGGTGAGCTGTGCCATGGATACAGGGACATCTGAGCTGACTCCATGAGAAGTAGGATGTTCAGAGAGGACTGGGTTTTATTTCAAGCTGTGAAAAAATACCTTGGGTTATTATAAGGAACTCAGCATATTCGTTGTCCCGAGGCTTGTGGCACATGGTGACCTAGAAGGTGATACAGTGTGGCATCTGATAGGAGTTTTGCTGCTTGATTTGAATGCTGCAAAAATTGTATTCCTGAGTGGTCTGGAAGGCCACCCCAGGACTCCCAGTTAATGCTGTCACACCCATTAGTTGCAGGATGTTTCAATGAAAGAGATGAATTTCTTCTGCTTCACTGCAGCATAAAATGAAGTACCATCTCCTGTAGACAGATTAGAAGGTTTTTTATACTTTTGATTTATGAGTCTTCTGTTTAAAAAAAATGTATCTTTTTTTTCATGTCTGCTGAAAGAGAAATGTCCAGCTGGTATCTCTCTGACACCCCCATCAATAACCCGTGGAGGAACATTGATGGAGCCTCCCAAAACCTTCTCAATGACCAGGACAAGGTACTTGTAATAGGGTGTCTGAAGCCAGGCATAAAAAAGCAGCTTTTCTATCCTTGTCTGTATTCCTATAGGAAAATACCTGCTATGAGCTAACATGGAGGAATTAATCTTGAGGAGCAAAGTCAGGTACCAGGACAGGCTCTCCAGATGGTGATAGTGGTGTTCTTGAGACTTCTGTTTCCTTAACTAGAAGCTGCTTCATAGACAGAATTTTAATTCCTCCTGAAACCATGCTATAATCCATGGACACAAGGACAGAGGGTGTTGAGAATAAAAGAGAAGTTGTTCTCAAAGATTCAGTAAAGATCATTGCCTATGAAAGAGCTTTATAAACCTGGTTTTGTGTCAGCCAGGAGAGAAAAGAGCCAGGCTGTTTGCTGATGAGCTTTTTGAGATTGGTTTTTTTTTTTTTTCATGCCTTTTTGATAAGTCTGAGACAGACACCTCCAGAGCAGAGCCAAAAGACAGGCAAGAAAACATGCATATAGTTTGTGTTTCAGACCACTGGGTACATGACAGTTTAAACTAAAGATCCTACAAGATCCTTTTGTTCTCCTTCACATCAAAATGTTACTCAGTAGAGCTGCCCTTTCTTTCTTTTAATACCACAGATGCAGTTTCTGAAGAACTTCCTGGGGGATTTAATAAGGTTTTTGCAACCACCCAACCAGACAAAGCCATGTCCTCACTTCAACCTGACAGTACAGAGGATTTTCTCTTTGGTGACATCTATATAATGCACCCCCTGAGTGTGGATTTCTCATAACAGCAGAAAAAAATAGAGAGCTGTTACTCAGACAAAGCAAAGTTTCAGAAAAACAAGTCACTAGTTTTCAGCTGGTAATTTCTTTATCGCAGCTCTTTCCATGAGACATTGCTATCAAAGGCCTGGCCACCAAGCAAATCATTTTTGTATACAAGGAAACTGAGATCCCTGTACCATTCAGGTATCACTCCTCAAAATCTGCCATCCCTCAGAGAACATTTGATGACATCAGCTTTCCTTGCTCTCCAGATGACAGCAACCTCAGTTAGTTCATTTCATTTTTATTAGGAAATGAGACATTTGACAGTCTGAAATGTCTTTGATCCCAATTATTGAATTGCTACAGCACAACAAAGAGGCAATGAAAATACCTAGTGAAATAGCCAAAATTAACCTTCTCTGTTTAAACAGAGTGGTGCTGTCTGTCTGTAAAGCAGGTATCCGTGATATCCAAGACATGATAAAATCAAGGAGAACATATCCAAACTATATGCTGGCTAAAATAAAAAGCTTCACCAGGCTAAGGCACTGATTAGAGGAAAGGGGCTGCTGCCACTAAGCTTATTTAAATAACAGAACCTTAATATTTGCTGTTTTCTCCTATAAGCTGTGTTTTATTTTGGGACAAAGCAGATATAACTGATATATACCAAATTCTGTTTTGAACTTCAAGTTGCTCTATGTTGTTGCTGTTGGGGACTTCTGGTAAAAGTAGCATTAATATTTAATTTACAGTGTTAGGGATTTTTGTTAAGAGCCTGCTACAGTAGTACTTAGTAAATAGTACTGTTTTGGAAGTTTTTTTAAACTTCAAAAAGCAAACATCAATAAATAAATAAAAACATCTGTTTGAATTAAAACATCCCCTGGCTCAAGAAACTGCAATGGACCTGTCAGTGTATTCTCTATAAGCATCTCCAGAGGATGCTAATGGAGCTCCACCTGCCACAAGCACCAAGAGAGGCTTCAGGAGCTGCTTTTTATTTTGGGATCATCCTTGCACAGAGTCAGGCTGTCTGATACTTGGGCTGATGCTAGAAAGACTTTTTGGGAGTTTATGGTGGTTGAAATTAGCAGAGGGTTGAAGTAAGGCCTTATTAACCATGATTCACACTGGGGTTTTTAGGTGTTTTGCCCTGTTTAAACTTATTACTGGCTGCTGGTAGAATGATGAACTTTTCCGAGAGCATATCCAGGCAACATCAGGTGGTGAACCCAAACAAGCTTTTCATCCAGTGAGATATTCCTCTGACTTGAAAAATGTGGTTTTTATTGTCCCAGTTTAACTCTTCTCATCAGGAGATGGCTCATAACTGAGACACACAGAACCAACTAATTTCACACATCCTGTCTCGTTCCCTCATCTTTCCTCCTAGCTTTCTGTGTACAGATTGGTTTTTTGGTTTTTTGGTTTTTTTGAAACTCATTCTTGTAATACTTAGAGTCATAGTTTCTTAGTGAAATTTCTTACTTCTGACACACTATAGAAAATAGCAACCCCTTAAGTAGACATCTGCTTGGAATTTTTGCAACATTTAAAATTTCTTAGAATAGAGCCATAAATTGCCTTCTATGAGCTTCAATGTGTTAGTCAGTGTAACTCCTGCCTGCTTTGGGCAGCCATAGCTTTTGGGTGAGAGTTACATGGAAAGATCCAAAGTGGGGCCAAGAATGCTCACACTACAGATGGGTGTGAGCAACTGTGGTTTTCAAAATAAAAAATGCAGAAGGGAGTGGAGAGATTTAGAAGTTTTCTGAAGGGTCTGGCCTCCAGTGACTGAGTGCAGAGAAGAGGAATAATAGTTACCTGTTGCAAACAGAAGGAAGTTAACCATCAAGAACAAACAGAAAAGCAAAGACAGGCAGAAGCCATAGGAAGGAAAATCGGAGCAAGCTGGTGACCGCAGAACCATGATATTGAAGGTTTGCAGCCTGGGAGCTCACAGTTACATATACATTTCTCTGAGACTACCGCAGTGGGAGGTGATGCAGACTAAGACGGCTGACAGCTAAACCTGAAAAGATTGGAAATAGCTGTTTTCCTCAGGGATTTGATTAGCCCAGAATAAGTGAACTGAATCGAGGGAGCAGGCCCTCCAGCAGCTGAACTGCTGAAAGCCTGGAAGGGAAACCTGAGGCAGAATAGCTGTAGCATCACATCACATGGTGATGTACTGCAGATCTGCATCCTGCTAAGTTGAACTACTTTTTATTCCTTGGAGAAAGGGCTCATTAGCCCTGTTAATTATTTTCCTATCTGTTAGAACTCCAGATGCCATTATGTTACGTAAAATGACAAATGTATTTTTAACTTGTAAAGCATGTGAACTTTAAGCTCCTTCCAGTGATACGAATACAGCTCCATTTCGATGCATGACTCATCTTCACATGTAGGGGGAAAAGCTCAGCATTTCACATCCCTGGAACCACACTCCGTGCACCAGTGATGAGCGACAGTTGCTGTGGGAACCGTCTCTTTTAGTATCCTGACTATGCATCCGACAGTGCCGAGAAACACTGACCGCGTCTTTGGTCGCGTTTAGCGACTGCATTGAGAGCTCCCTTTCGGTAGCCAAGCGCCTGAAGGATCACTGCCCGCTATCGTGTCTCATTGCAACAGCCGGTTTAACACAGGGTTTGGAGCGAAAGTGGCGATTCTCCCCTTCCCACAGGAGCCATCGGGGAAGGGCCGGCGGTGCCACCGCGCGGGCGCGCTGCGGTACCAGCCCGGAGCCGCCGCCGCAGCCTCGCTTCCCCCTCCGTCAGGGCCGCTTACCCCAATAAATTAACATCGTGCTTAAGATCACCGCCCTAGATCACCTTAAAATCACCGCGGGGGTTGTTGCCCACCGGGGTTGTTCAGGGAGCCGAGCAGTGGAACCTGAACACGAGGCAGCTCCCGCTCCCCGCTCGGGCCCGGCCCTGGCCGGTTGTCGGGGCTCGGGCCGGTCCCGCCGCCGCCAGCCCGGTGCGGCTCGGGGCGGGAAGGCGGCGCGCACCTGCCCGGGGCGGCGGGGCGGACCCAGGCAGAGCCCGCCTTCCCCGAGCCGCTCCGGGAAGCCTCGGCTGGGGCCGCGCCGCCACAGGCAGGTAATCGAGCTCCGGCGTGGAGCTGCCCCCGCCCGGCTCCGCCGCCGCCACCCCCCGCTCTCCCGGCTTCGCCTCAGGGCTTTCCCGCCCTCCGCCGCCGCCTCAGCGCGGGGGCCGAGCGAGCGGCCGCTCCGCTGGTGGTAACGGGGCTGCTGGCACCGGCACCCGCCCGGGGATCCCCCCCCAGTCCCCAGCGGGACCCTCTCGGCTTCGGGAGCCACGCCATGGCATCTCCACGGACTTCAGTTTTTTGGGAGGTTTGGTGGTGCCTGTCCCTAGCATGTGGACCCAGGCAATTAAAACACGGTCCCAGAGTTCGGTGCCTGCCCAGGCAGTGCCACTCTGGGGTTCAGTCCAGGTGTTCGTGGTTCTCTTGCGTAATTTGGGAGTGTCGGGATGAGGCAGGGGACCATTGTGAGGATTTCTACTTAAAACATTGAGGCAACAAGTGGTTGATGCGGGTTTATGAGCCGAAGCTCTGTTCTGTTGTACAGAGTTTAGCTGTAGTGTTACTCCAAGACTTAGCAGTTACTCAGTTACTTTTTGTTGCAGTAAAAGCAGTGATTTATACCTGCAGACTGAGAGCTGTGTGTATTGGAAGTGGGGTGACTGGTCTGTGAAGCTCAAGTGTGCTTTCCTGAGCTGACCCTTCACTTCTCTTCTCTCTGGCACCTGGTCATCTTGTTAAGAGAAAAGCGGTGAGGTGGGGTAACAGTTAGTTGACATCAATTACTAACACTTGTTTACGTTTTTACTCAGGACTAAATGGCAAGCGAATGGACTGCTTGAAGCACTGGGTTTGATTGCTTAAGAGAAGGGGCTCTGCTGAGATACCCCACAGGAATCTGTCGGGTATCTCTGTCATCCCAGACTCTTCCCTGATATGGAACAAAGTGAAGGTGAACAGGAATCCCAGGCAGAGAATCACGTGGAGAGCAAGAGCAGCGTGAAATCCTTGCCTGGGGGAACAGCCCATGTCAAACTAGAGATAAAAAAACATGCAGTTACAGACGACTACAAACTCTCCAAACGTGTGCTAGGGTTAGGAATCAATGGCAAAGTACTGGAGTGTTTCAACAAGGAGACAGGCCAGAAATGTGCTTTGAAGGTATGTGTGTTTTGGGCTTTTTCTTTATTTATGGTTTGGAGGCCAAAGTTCATTCCCTGTAAAAGCTACTTGTTCTGTGCTTACCTTTCTCAAAGAGAGATGCATGAAGAATCTGAATATGTGGAAACATTGGCTACCACAACGCTGGAGTCCCAGCTTCAGCCTTTTCCAGAATATTCTGTGTAGTTTCCAGAATAATGTTATCGGCTGTGAAAGTCTCATGTTCATATTTAAAAGAGACAAGAAAGCAGGGGAGAGATCTGTGTCTTGTGTGTTCTGGGAGAAAACTTATTAGATTTTGAATGAACGTATTATGCAATACTCGCAAAGGAACTATTTTGGATCTCGTGCAGTGAATAGACCTAAACTGTGAAATACTTAAATGTTCATTGATCTTCAGTCTTTCCTCTGTATGAAGATTTTTCTTAAGGAGCATTTCTAGTTGTTCATTTATTTTCCTACTTTATTTTTGTGATCAATTTACCAAAGGATATTTCCTGGGAAAGCACTGATTACACCAGTATGGCACATGAGTTTAGTAGATATTTGTGGTGGTAAGTACCACTTAAATAAATGGAGCAATAACCATTCATTAGAGAGCATAAAGCTTACTTGCCTTTTGTTCTGCAGCTTTTAAACTTGAAAATTTCCTTGGTGCTCTTAAACCACACTATTGGGGAAAAAAGCAGCCTAAATGAGAACCAGGATGGTTCAGTACCAGAAGACTAAAAGCAGCTGAAGTAATTGTCATGAGAATTGCTTATGAGTGTTACAGATTCTGTGCTGGTGGTAATTTGGTGGGTCCAACAGGCTTTCAGGTATCCTTCCTTTCCTTAAACACACACCATGTGTGCTGGGAGCAGAGTGGAGCTGCCAGTGGTCAGCTGGAGCCTCTGCCAACAACTGGAGATGGTCTCTAGCAAACAGAACTGCTGTTCCCACCAGAGCCTTTGCATTATGATAGAGAAGCCTGGAAATAACCTAGCAGCTTTGGGTATTGAAAAAAAAAATTAATAGAGGAACTAGAAAAGCTTATAATACAATAATTTGCTGATTAATTCACATGTTTCCAATGCTCTCATGTAGTTTATCACACTCCTTTTGTATTAGCTTCACATAGCTGGCTCACAGAAGTTTATCACAGGGAAACTGGAGGTTTTGACAACAGACTAAAGGTACTGAGGTCTTGCACCTGCCATGGGGAGTGTCACATCTTTGCATCTCTGAGATGATCCATTAATCAGGTCCTTCTGGAGTGCTAGCAACATTAATTTCTAAACTTAGCATACTGTGATGGAGGATAATAGTTAATGCTGAAGCTGATCTGCTGTTTCTGAAGAGTTCACTGGCTTTATTGCTGGTTAGAGGTTATTCATACTTAAAAGGGTTTGCAGTCTTAAGTGCTGGAAGCATTTTAAAACAGAAGTTGCCTTTCCGAAGAGCAATCCAGTAGCAACAAGTATATTACAGAGCAAATTTTGTAGCTCTGGAATGAAGTAGGAAATATATTCCAATGTATATTAGCATCTGGAAACTAATTTTTTTTTTAGCCCTCAGAGCTGGGGAGAGGGAGAAGAGAATGGAAATTGCTGTGCTCTGATAGAATGTCTTCTGCTTGATGGGTTGGAGGAACCTATGGTGGAATCTCTAATACCTGTGTGTATTTAGCACTGGTTGAGTTGGCTGATTATTTTTTAGAATGTTTAATATATATTAAGGACTAAATGTCCACTTCCCCAGTCATTATAGGTCAGCAATAGCTGGTGTATCACTCAACTTACCCTCTAAATATGTTTGTCATCCTGTTTCCCATCCAGCTGTGGAATGTGTGCACTTTTCTTCTGAAGGGGACAGAAGTATGGCAGCAATATTAAGATGTTTATAAGTTCTCTAGGGAGTTTGAATGGCAGATAATAGTTTGCTGCTTGCATATGTGCATTTCTCATCGTTATGGGTTTAAGTGCTGAACAAAAAGTTAAACATGCAATTAAATAAACTGCCAGCAGCCCAGAGAGAATCCACTGCTCTCTGCAAAGATGGTCTAGTGAGAAGATTACCCAACAAGGAGGGATAAAAACTCTGCTTGGTTAATTTGCAAGAACAGAAAGATCTTTTCCCAGCCCTGAAGATATTTGCAAGGACAAAAATATTCAGAGGAAGTTTTTCCTTTGTTTCTTGTGAAACCTGAACTGGGCCACACAAGTCCCAGACCTGCTCTGCATGACAGTTCAGAGCAAATCATCCAGTCAAAGCAGTTACGTAAAAGGGACAAGAAGCTTAGGAAAAAAATATGCTGAAACAGCTTCAAAGCAGAATTCTTCGTGTAGGGACAACAGGGCCTTGCCACTGCTCGTTCTTCTCAGGTGTGATGGCAGGATTATCATTCACTTACAGGAATAGAAAGTGGAGGCTGATGAAGCTGTTACAGAGCAAACCCAACTGGTATGACAGGTAAAGAGAAATGGAAAGACTGAATTGTAAGTTGAACATGAAAAAAAGGGATGCTGGATGAATTTTTTTCTGGAGGTTGCATTCACATATCCATTGAGATTTATGTATATTTGTGGACAAATACTTCAGGCATGAGAGTGCTTGCTGTAACCTGCTCCTGGGAAAGGAAGAACATCACTCCTGCTGCTGAAGATAAAGTGTAATAGGCTGTTCCTCTTCACATCAAACTTGCCCATTAAAGCAGCTCCTGACTGGGCAGATGGCACTGCTTTCTGCCTGCAGGTTTTCTTTTAAACGGGAACAGAGCCAGCACAGCCAGGGTCTGGATAAAAATTACTCAATGGAAGGAATTTTAGCAGAGGTACTCAAGAGGAAAGGGCTTGAACAAGCAAAAATATTCATCCCCAAAGCCATACATCAGTCAAGCACTCCATGCTGTAATTGGGAGGTCCCTGTTATTGTTGTTAATCCATATCCATAACTGGAACAGGTTAGAATTTCACTAATCATTTTGGAGTGGGAAAACACAAGACGTCCTTTTGGAGATACTGCATGGTTTTGGTTATTTTCCTGAAATACTGTATGGCTTAGTTTACTCTGCTTGGTATTGTGATTTGCTACCCAGTTTACAATGTGCTGTCAGCTTTGTTTCTGTTAAATTGAAATGCCACAGGCATTGCTGTCCTGCTCCAGAAAATCTCATCTGGTTTCTCATTTAGACACATAATGACATTTTGGCTGAACAGCACTGTTTCCAAATAGTGAGAGCATGAGGATTTAGAAAAGTAGAAGCATAAACAAAACTGCTGTGCAGGACTGTGGCCTTCTAGAAGGCAGCTATGCTTTGGTCTCTGTCTCCCTTACAAATAGAAATCTTCTCAGATCTCTTTCCATAGTTGATCCAGAAATAGCTGTCAAGTGAAGTCTAGTCATTCTTCTATTTTTATCTCCTCTCTGCCAGCCTGCCCCCTTCTGTTCACTTCACCTTTTGGGGCTTTAGGGCAAGTTTAACCTCCACTTCTTTAGCACTGACATCAGCCCAAGTGTTCTCTGCTGGTGTTTGCATTCCTCACTGTCTTTAGGGAGAGAAGGAAACCAAAATAGCTGGTTATCTGTGAGGATAAATATGATCTCCTGGGGGTTGCCTTCCATGAAAAAGAAACCCAACCTGCAGCTCCTTGTTCTTTCTTTCCTTCTCCCTCATTTCTTTTTTGGCACAAATTGCTGCCAAGTGGTGTCAAAATAATACTTCAATGTATTTGATGATCTCCTTTATTTTTGTGGAAGATGGTAGGAAGGGCTCAGAGCCGGAATTAAGAAATAATAAAAGTAGAGAGAACAGAGAGGTAGAGAGCCTCCTGCAGGGTACTGGGGCTTTCCTGCAACTGCAGCTTCAGGATTTTGGTGAATGTTTCAGGATGTAAAAACAGTGTTACACATCATTGCCATACTATTCATCTTCAGTAAACAAATGGTGCTTCTTTCCAGAAGAAAAGGAAGAAGAATTCAGGCATCAAACAAAGACTCTTTGAATTTCAGGAAAGCTAAGTACCTTGGTTTTGGATGCTTTGGCACTTTTGGGATGAGTAACTCCTGAGTAGCAGTGGTAATATGCTTCTCCCCTAAGCACTGGGCACATCCCCTGTGTACTGTAGATGCCTCCAGCCACCCAACACTTCCAGATTCAGCTGAAGTGTGTATGAATGGACCTGCTGCTCCATGGAATTGTTGAGGTTGGAAAAAATGTTAAAGATCAAGTCCAACCATTAACCCAGCACTTCCAAGCCCGCCATTGAACCATGTCCCCAAGTACCACATCTACACACAGACCTTATCTTCTAGAATAAATATTGAGCTAAGCCATCCCCTACCTCATGGAAAATGTGTTGTGCTGCTGAGTGCCAGCAGAAAAGTGACTGTAACTTGCTGATTTAAAGACAAATAGGCATAGCCCAAATGTCAAATAAAGCAAAAGGCAAACACAAAATTGAACACCCTCCTTGCCTTTTGGGTTTGAAGAATGTTTAATGAATTATAGAAATAAAAATTGCAGAGTAGGAGTCTCTGCTGTTACGCATAAAAGTATTAGCATAACTTTCTTAGAAAAAGAGAAACAGGTAATGGAGAAAAAAAATTTGCAAAATAAGTCCTTCCCAAAATTATTTTTGGGACCTGGACATAGGACTATCTAGAGAATGTTGTTCTGCTTTCCATAGGTGAGTTGCTGTGGACAGAGACAGGCATTCTGCCTCAGTTTAATTTAGTTTTGAGCTACGTATCTGTCTCTCACTCAATTTTAATGTTTCTGATTATATTAAATAGTTCTACATGACAAGAGCTTTTATTGGGATAGTCTGTTTCCAGTTAATTTACCCTGAAGCTAGGTCATGATTGCTCACAAACAGGAGACTGTACAGTCCAAAGTATTTGTTTTGCAAATTATGTAGATAGCTGGTGCTTGTAAAATACCTTGCTTGCTGCCTGAAGTAAGATGATGACCAAGGAAAATGATGCAGCAGTGGAGAAAGCACTGCACACAGTGAAAGTGA